CCCGCGGGCGGCTCGCCGTCCATCGCGGCCGCGGTCATGTGAGGCCGGTCTGGCCCGGCCCGCCCGCCCTCCCCTCCCCTCCCCTGCCCTCCCCTTCCTCCGCAGCGCCCGCCCGTGAGCGCGGGCGGGGCGGGCAGAGCCGCCTCCCGCGGGGCTGGGGGCGAGGGGTGACACGGGGGACCGTGCCCGCTGGGGATGTGACAAACGCCACTGCTGCGCGATCGTGTCCCCGCTCGGCAGCGCCCCGCGGCTCTGGCAGGGACAGCGAGCCGTCCCTGCCGCTGACGGGATGGCTCCGAGCGCTTCGGAACCGCTGCGGGGTTAATAACAAATCTCCTAAACATCTTAATAGCAAATCTCCCAAACATCTTAAACCGTATAAAGAGAAGAGATCGGCTCACGGGCTTAAGACGAGATTATCCCGAAATGCAACTGATTTTTTTTTTTTCTTCTGAAATCTGAAAAGGATGGTTGTTGGGAATGTGAAGTTCAGGGAGACTTTGTTGCGAGCTAAGAAAAGTAGATAAATTGTTGTTGAGGCTGTACTTTGGGTTTAAGTCAGAGAATCACAGGATCAATGGGTTGGAAAAGACCTCCGAGATCACTGAGTCCAACCTAAGACAGAACACCACCTTGTCAATGAGACCATGGCACTCACTGCCAGGTCCAGTCCTTCCTTAAATACCTCCAGGGATGGTGACTCCACCACCTCCCTGAGCAGCCCATTCCAGCATCACCCTTCCTGAGAAGAAATTCCTCCTAATGTCCAACCCAAACCTCTCCTGGTGAGATTAGGACTATGTCCTCTCATTACATTAATTACTCCCAGACAATTTTGGTATAGTTTGTTTCACCAAGTTCCCTTTCCCGAAGGCAGTTCTGCTGCCATCTAGTCAATTAATGAAGTTTCCTATACTAAATATATTTCTATATTTTGGATGCATCTGGATTTTTATGAGATATTCTTAACGATAAACTAAAAGTAAATATTGAATGTTTTTTTCAAATAAAAAAATCAATTTTCTGCTATGCACCTGAAGGAAAGCACTAATACAAGTTAAATATGGTAAAAATGAATGTTAACCTATTCGGGAAAGCACAGAAATACGAGCATTTGAAATGCAAATACCCTTTCCAAAGCTGCATAAGAATAAGAATTGCAGGTATGAGCACCTCTCATTTTATTACTGATTTTTTTTCCCCACTTCCTGTAGTTTATTAGCCAGGAATGATATGGTTGACACTGACGAAACGTAAGGCACATGTGGTTTTCCTGAAAACACCACCAAACAAGCAAAAATCTGCGTAGATTCTGAACCTCCAGACTGAGATATTATCAGTCCATAATAAGGCTTTATGTTTTCAATATCCAAAGTATTGGATGCATTCACTAGTTAATGTTCCTGATACTTCTTAATCATGGGACGATAAATTGTTATGTCCACCGTATGCAGAGAGAGCTAAACCAGAAAATTACGAAGTGAGAATTATTTCAGGTGTTAATTGCAACTACAACACTCCTCCTTGAAAGTTTCTGTGCTGCTACAAAGACGTGAATGAGTTGAGTGATTCTCCTTCTCCTCCTCCCTCGGTGCTGTTCCAGCCCGGTCCCAGAGCGTGGGTGCAGACGAAAGCTGGGTATAAAATTAGAAAAGCACGGCATTATTTGAGCTGAGAGGCCCTTCAAATCGTGTTTGTACAGCAGCAGAGCAGTTTTGCATGCTCAGCACTTCTCAAAACTAAGCCCCACAGGATTTTTCGCCTATATAGCATTTTTTCAGAAAATGAATGGAGGAATCAACATGTTCTCATTTAGCTATAGATTTTTGATTGGTCTGTACTTAAGCTAATAGCATAACTATTTATTTGGTATAAATAAGACATTCTCAACTGAAGATTGCTTTGGAGTCTTGAAGAAAAATACTGTGAAAAATAATTCAATTGCAGAAATAATTTTTGAACAGGGCCAGAAAGACATAACTCATTGAACACTTCCATATTTGCTGTAACTGCAGCAAAAGCTTCTGGAAAACCTTGAGCATAAAGAAGCAATAAAATAAAAAAAGGGCACATGTCATAGAATCATAGAATCACTGAATGGTTTGGGTTGGAAGGGACATTAAAGATCCTCTAGTTCTACCCCCTGCCATGGGCAGGGACACCTTCCACTAGCCCAGGTTGCTCCAACCTGGCCTTGGACACTTCCAGGGATGGTGCAGCCACAGCATCTCTGGGCAACCTGTGCCAGGGCCTCACCACCCTCACAGGGAAGGATTTTTCTCTAAAATCTAACCTAACCCTGCCCTCTGCCAGTGTGAAGCCATTCCCCCTTGCCCTGTCACTCCAGGCCTTTGTAAAACATCTCCCTCCACCTTTCTTGTACCTCCCTTCAGGCATTGGAAGGGACTGCAATTAGGTCACCCCACTTGCAGGCTGAACAATCCCAATTCTCTCAGCCTTTCCTCACAGCAGAGCTGCTCCATCCCTCTGATCATCTTGGTGGCTTTTCAGGGCTCACTCCAACAGCTCCATGTCCTTCCTGATCTGACCAATCTGACCAAAGCAGTGCATGAGCAGGTCCCCACCCAAGGCGCTGCCTCATTCCAGGCACGTCCTGTCAATATTAGATAGAATTTCATACAAGAGCTTGCTTACTCCTTCAGAATTCAGTTTAGGAAGCAGAGCTGTCAGCTCCACTATTCTCAGATCACCTGCACACAGTGAAATTCATGAGGCGCTGCTGGTTTGAGAGTCGTGCTATAAAAAGCCATCCCCATTAGATTTCTTTCCCCAGATTTCCCATTGATTGGGAGTTTTGCATGTGGAATGCTTAAAGGAACAGGCTTCAGCTGCCACTGCCAAAATCTGTGGTTTTAAAAGTTGTTCCACTTCCCCTCAGATTGCTGAGTGAGGACTGGAGGAAAACGCATAGCAGCGAGATAAAACAGGGACTGAGGGGAAATTTCAACAGAAGAAAGGAAAGGGGGAAGGAAGGAAGAGCACATAAATCAAAAGTTGCTGAAAAGTACAGGAAAATGTCAAGAGCAGCCCATGCAAAGTCAGGTAAAGGAGGATCCAACGTTTAGATCCAGAGTTCAGCCAAAGTGACTGGAGAAGTGCAAACAGGAAGAAAGGTAACTGCAGAAATTTCACATTCCAGCAATACAGACAAACCGTGGGGGCGGTGAAACACAAGGAACAGAGACCACACAGACACTCCTGAAGAGCCATGGAATGCTGAGCACCCAGCTGGGACTACGAACTGAACAGCAGCACCTCCTCCCTCACATTCGCAGAAATACGTGGTTGTGATGGCAGGAAACAGCATTCTCTGTTCCCTTTAGCTTTGCTGGTGCTGCTGCTGACTGGGGAGTCAAAGCCTGGTCAGCCACCATGATATAATGAGGGGAAAAAAACAGCCGCACAAAGTGCCAGTCATCGTTTCCATTCATACGTGCTGCCCGTGGCTCCCGTCGGGAACGGGCGCGCTCAGCCAATGGAATCTGAGTGGAGCTCGGCTGCCACCGTGTGACTGCCTGATAAATCCATCACCTTTTACCAAAACATGACAGATAGGGTCTAAATTTAAAATGCTAAGTACAACACCTGCTCTGCTCTTCTCATGTTTGATTGTTGTTTTTTTGTTTTGTTTTGTTTTTTTAATGCTGGCATTTTTACTGTTTTGATGATCTGATTGAAAGCACTGGGCTAAAAAAAAAAAAAATCAAACCATCAAAAGTCCTACTCAAAACGCGAGTGTTCACCTCCTAAGTGGGCACAGAACTATTCCTCGAGAATTCTTCTGAGCTTCTTCCTTTACAATTGTCACCTCAACAAGGCAAATTCCAAGTTGCCTTAGCCACTCTGAACCTACTGTATGAGCACACACGCTGAAAAAAAATGACACTCATTTTTCATCAGCCTGAGGTGCCCAGGACGGAAAGTGGTGGTTTAATCGATAAGGTGGGGCCAGGTCTCTCAGGTGGTCAGTCACGTTGGTAGCCGGTACGGCAGATTGATACCAGCTTTAAAACCATTTAAAAATCATCCTAAAACGCCAGGACTGCGCACGGTGACCCCTCAGATCGCTGTCCCTCCCGCTTGTCCGACTGCACCGGGAGGTCACAGCCCCTTGGAAGGCCTCTCGCGCTAACCGGGGCATGGCCACCCTCACCTGGTACCTCACGGGAAAACGTTATTTAAACCCCACAAAGGCATCGCAGGGATTATTACAGCGCTGGGAGGCGGTGTGTGAGGAGAAATCCCCTCAGCCCCCGCCGCCGCCATCTCGCCCGGCTGATGTGGCGCTGGCGCCGGGCCGTACCACGGGGCCCCGCCGCCGTGGGGGTGTGCGCTGGCCCCCCGCGCTCTCCGCGCCCCGGCACAAACGCGGCGGTGTCCGCGCAGCGCTCTGAGCCTCCCCCCTCCGCACCACCTGGGTAGCGCCCGCGCGCGCGCCCCGCCAGCCTTCGGGCGAGCCCATGGCGGACGGTTTGTAGGGGGGGAACAGAGCGGGTTTCGCGCCAGTGCGCTGTTCTGTCAAAGCCTGCGCAGCGCTCGACAGCGACATCCCCTGAGCGGCCTCACATGCAGGGAGGTTTCACTGTGTGCCAGCCCGGTTAAATGTCACAGCGCCTCCCGTCTCCCGAAAAATGGTTCGGTCGGGCCCCACCCCAGTAGAATGGAAGGAGGCGCCATCTTGGGCTCGGCCACAGCAGGCATGAAATAGGGGCGCCGGAGGTGCAGTGGGGTGAAAACGAGGGGAAGCCGCCGTTTGCCGAGGAAGATAAGGGTAGCAAAGTGCCTGAATCCACCTGCGTACAGAGCGGGGAGAAGACAGACGTAGTGGTGACCGTGAGGGTGGGCGGGAGCTGCGGCGGGGACAAGAACCTCCCCCTCCCGCCCCGCACCCGTTGGTAGGCGCCGGCGCGCGCGGGCCGCTGGGCCTGGCGCACATGGCCCGGCCGTAGGAGCCGCCCCGCACCCCCCCCCTCCGACCGGGACCGGGACCGAGCACCGAGCCCGCTCCCAGCACCGCGCACCCCATGCAGGACACCGAGGAGAGCCCCGCGGCCGCCGCGCCGACCGGCGCGCAGGGCCCCGCCGAGGACCCCGAGCACACCGACGCGCCCGCGCCGCCCGCGGAGCCGCCGCCGCAGCAGCAGCAGCAGGAGGAGGAGGAGGAGGAAGAAGAGGAGGAGGAGGAGGATAATGATGAAGGAGGCGAGTCCGAGGCGCCGCCGGGGCCCCCCGAGCCGCCGCCCGCCGAGGAGCCCGAGCAGGAGCAGCCGCCGGCGGAGCCGAAGCCGCCGTCCGGCCGGGAGAGCCCCGCCAAGGCCGAGCCCGAGCCCCAGGTCGAGCCCCAGGCCGGGGCCGAGCCCACGGCGGAGCCCCAGCCCGAGCAGCCGCCGCCGGCCCAGGCCGAGCCCAGCGCGGCGCAGCAGAACGGGGAGGCCGCGCCCGCCGCCCCCGCCGAGCCCGAGGACGAGATTTCCTTCAGCGACCCCGAGGACTTCGTGGACGACATCAGCGACGAAGGTGCGGGGCGGGAGGGGCCGCGGGGGCGCTCCGGGGGCCCCGGCCCTGCCCGGAGCTGGGGGAGCCCACGGGGGGCCCGGGGGAGCCCGGGCTGGGAACGCTCTGCCCAGACCCCTGGGGATGCTCGCGGTGCCCCCAGCACGGTCTGCATCGCTTTAGAGCATCCGGTGGTCTAAACTCTGCTGTTAAAGGTGCTTTAAAATCTGCTGTTAAACTTCAGGTGTCATTCTCTGGGCTCCCCTCAAAGAGGGGAGCCGTCGACTCGTGCCCCTTCCCTTTGCCTCCATTAGTTGAACTCAGCTGTAAAACCAGAAGTTTTAAATGGTTGACGCGGTGGTTGCAAAATGGGTTTTCATGGTTCTAGGTTTTTTTCTGCATACAGGAGTTAGAACTCTATTTTGTTGTTTTTCTGGTAAATCTTTCTTGATAAATTGTCTTAGTTTTTAAATAGCAAAAGCACTTATTTTGCCAGTATTTGTTCAGCATATGTGCTGTGTTGGAGGGACTCACGTACGTGTCCCCTGCATGTTTTGGGTCTGTTACAAGTATCAGAACTACAAAAATGTTTCTAAAGCACAATATTGTAAATCAGTCAGTTATTTCAATTCGTGGAATACAGGTGATACATCTGCCTTCTAGTGTTCCAGGCCTGTGTTTAGCTTAATAAAATAGCAGCGGAATACTCTTAGATTAAGAAGGTGTTTGCTGTTCTCAGTACAGCAGTTGTGTTGCTCTTTGAACTTGTACATTTGTTCCTTAAAGAGGCTTTGGCTTGGATTCTTTTTGTTTAGTTAAGTGCTTGCTTGATACACTTGTTCTACATCTCAGATTGTTACGTTGAGTTCTTTTTTCAGAAACTGGGGATATTTTCCATCCTCACCTATTTTATTTGTTAATTAATTTGGCTACCTTCTCAGCTGTGTGAATAATCCCGTGTTAGTGGCTGAATTACAGTGTTTAGGTTTAGTCAGTCTTGCTGGTCTGGCTTTCCCATCTGTGTGTTACTTCATGAGTTTCCTTATTCCTTTCCTGATGCCTCCCCAAGGAGAAAAGCAGTCCATCAGTGTCGCTGATCAAGGCTCAGGATAACATCCATCATCAGGAACACCTGTGGGATGGACCAGGTTTGGGACTGGACCAGCTCAGATCCATTCCTTCCACTTTTTTAACCCAGAGTGGTGGTGGCAGGGCAGAACAGCTGATCCAAGTTAAGGCAGGAGAAAGGAGTGTGTTGGACAACCACTAAAGGTGCAGTGAAGCTTTAGCTCAGATAATGACAGTGGTCCTTAAAATACTGCCAGCTGAAGATAGCCATGAACCCACCACACCCTGCTTCCCTTCTGGGTGCTATAGGAGCTGGCTAAACCAGCTTCTTACCCTTTGAAGATTCCTTTGTTCACAATTTTGAATTTAAGGCAGAGGAAGGGCACGGTGCAGGAATTTGTTTTCACTCTGTTACAGTTTTGGTTCAATACAGGGTGTTGCATTCTTGCACGGGAATCTTAACAGGCATTCCTTGGCCTGTCTGAAGGGCTACAAAGTCTTTTGTGAGAAGTGGTTGTGAAAAAAAATGACTGATGGGGCCTTAAAATCACCCTTTTGTGTTTTGGTTTGGCTTTTTTTTTCCTTTTTTTCATCTCATAGACTTCTGTCGAAATGTCCTTGTGGGATATGCTCTCATTTGATATATTTTATATTGTTAATTGTAGTTCCTACATGCACAGGGAGAGCATCTTTTTGAGTAATAAATACTACAGACAATGTTCTATGAAGTACTACATAATCTTTCCAGTGGTGTTTCTGGGTAGAATAATTTGTAGAATTCCCAAACCAGCAAAAATCTATAAAAATGTCTTCAAAATGATCAATGTATCCAACACCCTTTTTAGTTTGTTCTCATATTTTAAATGTTTCTGCCTGTGCTTGGACTTTCTTTCCTTGTCTGTGAATGCCATATGACTCTCCAAATTTTACCTTTGGTCTAATTCAAAAGTGTAGTGGCATGAACTTATTTTCTGTGCAGTGTTGTATTTTATAGTTTTACATGAAACTTACTGCAGATATTCAGGAATTAATATGATTGAAGAATATCCACGGTGTGAAAAGCTGTGTGTCCTGTCTTCACTGAAGGCTTAAATATGGCTTTAAGTGTCTTGTCTTAGACCTTTATTTTTGTGTTTAATTAAGGGTTTAGAAGGAGTGTGAGTTCTTAAACATAATTATAGTGATGCTGAGACATGCAGAGCTTCCAGTGTGGGAGACAGTTTTGAATTATGCTAAAACTTGTATAATTCAGGAGGGAGGTACATGGTACCTTTTTTTTCCCCTCAAAGTCATCTGGTTATAATTTGAGCAATTAATTAGGGACTAATCAGAGCTCGGGTAGTAAATCTTACAGTTGTCTGTGCTATTGTCAGTTTTGAGGACTTTGTGAGCCAGTTCCATCTCCTGAAAAAAAGGTAATAGTGCAACTGTTGATGACCACAATGTAAGGTATTTCTTTAACAAAGATTTCAAGAGCTGGCAGCTTGGAGTTTGTCACTGAGCCAGGAAGCTGTTGGAGTGTTGTCCCTTCAGTTGTTTCTCTGATAGAATGTTCATTCACTGTCAAGTTTCTTAAATAATTCTTTAAATTTTCTCAGATTTGGAGTCTTTCTCTTCTGTTACTCTCAGTATTCTTTCCATCTTTGTCTTCCTCCTTCACGTTGCAGAGGGGTGCTTTAGTTCCCTGTATGTGCTGTCTTTGCAGAACTGCTTGGTGATATACTGAAAGATCAGCCCCAGGAGGCAGATGGGATAGACTCGGTGATCGTCGTGGATAACGTTCCCCAGGTTGGGCCAGACCGACTTGAGAAACTGAAGAATGTCATCCATAAAATATTTTCCAAGTTTGGTAAAATTATCAATGAATTCTACCCAGAAGCAGACGGAAAAACAAAAGGGTAAGTCACGATAACTCCAACTAACAGGACTGAAGCACAGCTCTGACTTATCCTTGATTATTGGTGTCAGTACTTTATGGCTGGTTTTTATGATGACCCCATAGTCATTATCATCATCACCTTCTACCTTAGTCTGTACAATCCTGACATCTCAGTGACAGACAGAAGTATATGGGGGAGCTGAGAAGTTTAATAGTTCATTAGGCTCCAGTGTGGACCATGGCAGGAATTAATTGAAACAATTTAGCTGAGTTTGGAAGACAGATTTCTGTGCAGTACTACATGAGTGGTGCTTTGTTAATTTTCTGCTCTGGCTGATCAGTGAGTTAAAGGTCCACTTGAGTTAAAAGCAGTAGCAGTGAATGTACTAAGCAATGCAAAACAGGCTATCAGTATATGTAGCATATATTACTGAGTGTTGGAGGAATACATAGTTTGGAAGGCATAAAAAAAGTGAGTTTTCTGGAGTGTATAGGTTGTCGGTTCTGTGAGGTCAGTGTGAGAAGGATGAGAAAATTATTCAGTCTCTGTGTTCATGGCTCTCTTTGAGGCAGTGTCTGATGGTGTTCAGGATACTGTTAGTTTTAAGTCTGCTGGGCTGGAAGCTGAGTTGTGTAATTGAAAAACAAGAGTGGTGCTTTGGGGTGCCTGTGACAGCAACAGTCACAACTCCTAAACATGATGTGTCATTCAGCTGGCAAGAGCTGCAGACATAACTTGCCTGTTCCTGGCTCTCGTTGTTGTCCTGTGTTGTGTTGAATTTGCATTTATCACTGACTCTGGCCCATTCAGAAAGGATATCTGATTAACTGAGGTCAGACCCATACAGCTAAAAAGTGCCTGTGGCCAAAATGGAGATTAATTGCTATTGACCCTAATTGGCTAGGGACAAGACAAGAAGTTAATTTTGTAGATGCTTTGTACTGAATTTTTAATTCATCCCCATTGCTTTATCTTTATTATGAGCTGGTTCTGTAGTCAACAGTGTCTTCCTACTTTGATCTTCCTTCACTGTAGGTACATCTTTCTGGAGTACATGTCTCCATCTCATGCAGTGGATGCTGTGAAGAATGCAGATGGATACAAACTGGATAAGCAGCACACCTTCAGAGTCAACCTTTTCACAGACTTTGATAAGTGAGTGCAGCCATTGTGGGTATCTGTAGGTTTGGGGTTTCTAATCAAGAGTGGTGTGTGGAGTGTAACCAACCTAATTAATTGCTCTTTCAGGTACATGACAATCAGTGATGAATGGGAAATCCCTGAGAAACAGCCATTTAAGGATTTGGTAAGGAATTTCTGGAAAAGTGGAAAGAACATTCAGCATAATAATAAATGGTTACTTCATTGCTGGAGTGTCCATATGAAAATAGAAATGATGTGTTAATAGTGTTATAAGTAGCAGTAGTGATCACATGCTCCTGTTTCTTCGTTTTCACTGTCATGAAGTGACAGGAAGAGCTTTGTGGTTCTGCTTGATAGTTCCACATAGTGTAAAGCTTCAGAGTAAATCACAGTTTTGCACAAATCATTTAAAAATAGATTTTTCAGAAACATCTTTTTGTATTTTTAATTGTTTGAGGCAAACTTTGGTGTTTGTTACCAGTAGCTTTGTTAATGGTCTGGTGGAAAAAGGAATAGGGTTTAAAAAAAAAAAAAAAAAAAAAAAGAACAAACCAAATAGGATATTTTACACAAAAATATTAAACATCATCAAGCTACCTTGAAGGTCCACCTGTTTATTATGTGCTCTCTTAGTCTCCATTATCTAGTAGTTGGAGTTCTTTAATTTCACTAAAAAAACTTGTTTGCAGTGGTGGTAAGACCCCAAAGTTGCACACTCTGGTGAGACCAACTTCCATCTGCCAGGTAGATACTAATTTGGGAAACTTGTCTTAGCCTTTGACTCACTACTCATCTTCTTGCTTCTGTTTTCTGCAGGGGAATCTCCGATACTGGTTGGAAGATCCTGATTGTAGGGATCAGTACAGTGTGATCTTTGAGTCAGGAGACCGGACCTCCATTTTTTGGAATGACATCAAGGAACCTGTTCAAATTGAGGACAGAGCAGTGAGTGTCCTGGAAGTGCTGTACATGGCAGATACACTGTCAGTCTCCTTCCTTCATTTTTTGACATTGCAGCTTTTTAATTAAAAAATAATCTTTTTCCCATTGCTGAAATACTTTTCCTTGTGAAGAGCGGTGAAACCACATCATTTAGAATTAGACTTAGCTGCTTAGGTAGAAGAAATGTGGAGTGAACTTTTGGAGTTTGTGGTAGTGTTTGTTATTTTTGACTGGTCCACAATGCCTATCAGTTTCCTTCATCTCTCTGTTACAGATGATTCAGAAAGGCCTGAAATGCAAAGTCAGAGTTTGAGGAGCACTAGTCATTAGAGCTGAATGTGTGCCCATGTTTGCTGCTTCAGATGACTTCTTGCTTTTGTGCTGACTACAGAGGTGTTAAAGAGGAATAGCTGGTTTGGTAATGGCATATAAAAGGGAGAGTTTGTCTGCCTGTCTGCTGCAGGCACTTGACTTGCTGGGAACTGTTAGGACCCAGAAGCATTTTCCTTAGTAACCATTATGCATTACGGTAGAAAGAAGTTGGCTTTGGGATGGTGAGAATATTTGCTCATCACTGTGGTCACTGGCTGTGCTCTGCATTGCTGAAACCTTTCTAACATAGCTGAAGATCAAGAGCTATGTTGTTAAGAAATTTGAAATACTCCTACTTCTGAGAAAACTTATGTTGTTACCAGAGCTGAAAGACAACAGGGAACCCCAGGCCTGTTAGGTGGGTTTAGTAGTTATTATACAAAGGTTCTCACTGTACCTGGAATTTTTGGTCATTAGTAAGTTGAAAAGGTCTCAACTGACAGTTTTCAACCTGAAGAATCAGTGCTGTACATTATGTGCCTGAAACTAAACTCCACAGCTAGTCCAAGGTATCACGAATTCTGAGATCTTCACTTAGTATATGAATTTTCAAAATGTGATGCTGCAAGCCACACACTAATTCTTTCTCTTTTTGAGGAATACAACATGAAATTAAACCTTTGTGTGTTTTCTTTTTTTTAAATCAAGAGATGGACAGAGACCTATGTGCGCTGGTCCCCAAAAGGTACCTACCTGGCCACGTTCCACCAGAGAGGCATCGCCCTGTGGGGTGGAGAGAAGTTCAAGCAGATTCAGAGGTTTAGTCACCAAGGAGTGCAGCTTATTGACTTCTCACCTTGTGAAAGGTATGGAGCATCACACTGGGCTGAGGGATCAAAAGCATGAGGCATGAGTAGCATGCTCCACATCTGTAGTGCTGAAGGGAATTCCTTAAGCCTTCTGTAACATTAAAGAGCTCTTGAGAGAAGGATAAAATAATTCCAGGACTCAGATGCATCTCCTCTTGATAGTTTTCAGGTATGATATTTGGAAGCACTTAGGGTTTATGCTCTGTTGTATTAAAGAGAAGCTATTTATCTTTAAATGGAGAAGTTTAGCAAACCTGTAGTTTTGGTTGGATAAGGTCAATGGATTTATGTTTGGTTCAAAACCAGTGATGTTCTTGTGTCAAAGCTGTATAATAGGTAACAGCATGTTTGGTGGGTTCCCCTTCCTTGTAACATCAGTATGGGAAGACTTGCCCATAAATCTGGAGTCTTTTCACCCAGAGGGATGCCAGGGAAATACTGTGTATTGGAAGCTTCCTCCTCCTTTGTCATGCTGTTCCTACTTTTTCCCTCCTCTCTGAAAAATCCCGTTAGAGAAACTGCTGTTTGAAAGTGCATGGTATTTAAATATTACTTGGATGAAAGGCTGCTGGTGCTGATATACTAGATGAAGTTCCAATTTTGAAATGAATTGTTTCTTTTGTAGGTATTTAGTGACCTTCAGCCCTTTGATGGACACACAGGATGACCCTCAGGCCATCATCATCTGGGATATTCTGACTGGCCAAAAGAAGCGAGGATTCCACTGTGAAAACTCAGCTCACTGGCCTATTTTTAAGTAGGTTGAGAAGCAGAATTAGAGTGGAGAGTTACAGTCCCAGCCTTCGTTTAATAAAAAGGCAGTTCCAAAGTAATATATTTTTTTTTCTTTTTTGCTTAGATGGAGTCATGATGGTAAATTCTTTGCTCGAATGACTTCAGATACCCTCAGCATCTATGAAACACCTGTAAGTTCTTCCCTGTTTCTTTTTTCATAATGCCTGTTGCATTACAATGTCAGTCTTTCCTATGGTTTTTAGTAATGCACTTTAGAGCTGGGCTTAGAGGGAAGAAATCAGTTTGCTCTTGTCTTGTTCTTTCCTGGCTGAAAAACTTTAGCTGAGTCTGGCAGTAAATTTACACCACATATCTAGAAGGATCAGACAGCTCAATATACTACTTTTAAGAATCAGTAGGATCAAGGTTATGTGATTCCTCCTAGCTCTCAGTAGCAGGTGACTGCCAAGTACCCAAAATGCACTATAAATGCAGCCAAATCTATTCTGTTTTGCTTTTTCTTTATCATTCAGGCTGCTTTACCTGCTAATTACCTACGACAACTTTTATTTGGCTTGTGACTGTGGTTACATATGTTTATAATAAAAAATAGTGATACAGGAGCTCTGAAAGCTGTAGAATTTCCTGGTTTCTGTGCTCTGATAATGAGAGTAGAAGGTATATGTGTAAGTATAAGAATGCTACTAACTTGAAAATTCATCCTTCTTTTTTAGTCTATGGGTTTGTTGGACAAAAAGAGCTTGAAAATCAATGGGATAAGGTGAGTCTATTCCTTTGTAAACATAACTGGTCTCTTTAGTTGTAATCTTTTTTTCTGGAGCTTTGTTATGGCAAGAGGAATCTTTAGACTGTTGACTAGAGCAGAAGGCTTTCTGTGCTGAGGTTGTCAAATCAGACAAACTGGAAAAAAGAAATGGGAAGCTCTCCATTCATCAGTGAACACAGTTGACAGCTTCTGTGCTTTGAAATGCTCCGTGGTACTGCTTAATCCAGGGTCTAGCTTGTCTATGAAACCAGACTGGAATGCAGTTTGTTAGGGAATATCTCCCTGCCAGGGTTGGTGTGCTGGCTTAGAGCAGTGTGCTGTGTACTGCCTGGTTTGTGCCTGTCTGCTCAAGAGACACTGAATCCTGGGAGAGTTTTTGAAGTACCTCTCTGTAAAGCAACAAGAAAATTAAATGTACCCAGGTGCAAGAAGATTCTCACTAGGGTAATTTAATAGGGTTGCTTTAATCAGCCTGTGTTTAGATCTTTGGTGGTTACTCTGTGTGTCACCGCTGCTTTTCAGTAAAATGTACTGTCCTGATAAAATTGATGATATAGCAAATTTAAATAGCAGTTTAAAAATCTGTTTGGGTGTTGTTACATGTAAGCTTATTAAATTGCCCTCAGTTACTGCCTTTTATATTGAGAGTTGATATTTCCCTGCAGCATCAGATACAATGAGGAAAATGGTTTCTGCTTGTAGTATCTCTTAACTAAAAATTAAAATGGCCTATTTTTAACTTTGTTCCTGTAGAGACTTCTCATGGTCTCCAGGTGGTAACATAATTGCTTTCTGGGTGCCTGAGGACAAAGACATCCCAGCAAGAGTGACTTTGATGCAGCTGCCTTCTAGACAAGAAATTCGAGTGCGGAATTTGTTCAATGTAGTAGATTGTAAACTGCACTGGCAGAAGAACGGGGACTACCTGTGTGTGAAGGTAGACAGGACTCCCAAAGGCACACAGGTAGGTGGATTCTGATTTTATTGGTAAAATTTGTTTCTGTCTCATGCTGACAGTACTGTCTTTTCATATAGACAGTGTAAATTGTATCGTGCCAAAGCTGGTTTTATTTTTCTTCTTTTTTTTTTTACTTGAATTTGAAGCAAAGATGAAAATATATGTAGTGATTGTATCCAGGATTTGCTTTGACTGTAGTGACCTCTTGGATTGGGTGAGAGCCCTGTGCCTCACCTCTTTTCCTGCTCACAGTTAAGCAGCTGTTAGACAGCCCACAGGTCATGCAGCACAATGTGCCATATGTTTGTCTGTCCCAATTAAATTTCATAACAGTCTGAAAAGAAACAAGTGCTTTTGTACAATTATTAAATTGTTCTTTATCAGAACAGAGAAATTTGGAATGTGTTTGGTAAGGAGGCTTATAGCTGCTCTCATTAAAGGAACAGCCCTTGACTCTCTCATCATGACAGGCTAATTGTGTAGTTGTCTTTCTATGCCTAGTGATAAAATTATTTACTCTACTGTTTTTATACTGGATAAAAAGCTGATTTTGGCCTTTACAGGGAGTAGTGACCAACTTTGAAATATTCCGCATGAGAGAGAAACAGGTGCCAGTGGATGTGGTAGAAATGAAAGGTAATGCCACGTATTTTCTTACTTTTGAGCTTTAACTCTTTTGTATGGACACTTCTGTGTTTCTTAGAAATTCCTGTCAGCATTTGACATAATTAGGAATTAACTCTTTGGAGCTAAATTAGTAATTTAGGACATTTCCTGTAAAAATGAGAAATCAAAACGTCTGTTGCTATTGGGGCTTGTGACTGACCTGAAAAATTACAAGGAAAAAGTCTTAGTAATGACATACTAATATAATAATGAGTGTATTTTGTAGAAGATGGAAGACTTTTGAGCTGTAGTTGGAAACACTTCTCATAACTTCCTGCAACTGCCTTATCAACCTGTGTTTTAAAAGCAAGTCTCTATGGCAAAGTCTATTAACTGAAGGGTTCCCTCTCTTCAGCATCTGTGTTGTCTTTGGTAACTGCTTGAAACCAGAGGTTTTTGTTTTGTTTTGTTTTTTTTACAGAAAGCATCATAGCCTTTGCTTGGGAACCAAATGGAAGCAAGTTTGCTGTGTTGCATGGAGAAACTCCACGAATTTCAGTTTCCTTTTACCATGTTAAAAACAACGGGAAAATAGAACTCATAAGTAAGTGACTGAAAAGAACAAGTGAAAAGGGCAGGTACTAAGCATTTTGCATGGCAATGGATGCAGTGAACTCAAAATAGTGGCTGTCTGTGGTGGGTATTGTAGGAGTTGCTGCTATGCCTGCTGCTGTATTCCAGAAATTAACTTCCTGGTGACAACTATACTGTTACCAGAGTAAGCCCAGTGCCTGGGAATAAAAGGCCCACGAGTCAAAATAATTTTTGTGGCTTTGGGAAGCTCATGTGAGGCAATAGCACGGACTTGGCTCACTTTAGATAAAATTTATTCCCAAGAATGTGCTGGGGTCTTCTGATCTCTTTAATCTGCCAGCTTTGGATGTCCTGGTGCTACTGCGTTTTGTCTGTTCAAGTGAAGAGCTAAGGGCTGTTTTGTAGGACTTGCTTGCAAAGTTTACAAATGTCTTTTGAGGAATCAGAGGGGTTGATGCTTGTAAGATAACTGATGGTGTTGGATTGAGATCTCTTTCTGAATTTGTCTGGTTTGTTTTCAGAAACATTTGACAAACAGCAGGCGAACACGATATTCTGGAGTCCCCAAGGGCAGTTTGTAGTGCTGGCTGGCCTCAGAAGGTGAGTTTTGCAGAGGTTGCTGAACATCACCACTTTCATTTTAAGGAGGGAGAGCTAGAGTACCTCACCAAGAAGTGTTTAGTTTCCCTGTGAATGCTGATTGCTGTGTAATCCTGATACAGCTTTGCAAAAGCAAAGGAAGAGCAGAGGTGGAACTTCATGATGTAGCTTAGTCCTTTGTAATTTTTACTTGCTGTTTTTGCCACATCAAATGGAGAATGTATTTTTCAACAGCAAAGTGGATATCAAGAAACACCTTTCAGCTGTTAAATACTGACTATCAGCTAACCCAGTTTGCACCATGCATGTGGCTCTTATGATGCATTTGTTGTTGCCATAGCTTTGTGCCCCTTCATGGGCAATACCTGTAAATGACAGTGCTATTTTGTAAAAGAGTTACCATGAGTTTCACTCCAGAGCAAGCAAAAATTATTGTTATTACCAGTCAAGTAATACCTGCCTTCACATGCTCTGAGGTGAGCACTGTGTTCATCTTAGAATTCTTTTTTTCTTTAATTTCTTCTTCACTGCTAAAACATGTCTAAGCACATGATTTTTAAGCTTTGATTTTAACTTACCTAGAGTGTGTTTTCCCTGTGACTTCAAGCCATTTTATTTATAGTCCTTAAGGTCTCTGAACATAGAATCAAAAGTGTCTTTTTTACTTGGAGTTTTGTTTTTATCCATCACCTTATTTCCTAGCCACAGAGCCTGTCTCTTGGTTGCAGTGCAAATTTATCTTTGTACTGAGGAGTTTTAGGGATGCAGCTTAGCTTAAAAAATAGACCAGGCTGTATTAGTGTGTAAACCAATCTGTCCTGTTTTGTCTTTGCAGCATGAATGGTGCCTTAGCATTTGTTGATACGTCCGACTGCACCATGATGAACATCGCGGAACACTACACGGCCTCGGACGTGGAGTGGGATCCTACGGGCAGATACATCGTGACTTCTGTGTCTTGGTGGAGCCACAAGGTACTGATACCTTTTTTTTTTTTTTTCCCCACCCCCTCCCTGCCTGCTATTGCAGTGGTATTGGAAAGGGCTGTTGGTTTGGAAGAGGAAGTGTACACCTGTCACTGGTCATACGACTCAAACCAATAGTTTCACACATTGATACCTGAAGTCACACATGAGCTTCACCAGTTGTCCAGAATAAGTCCTGGAAGGGCAGTTCATGAGTCTAAACTGAGTGTCCTTTTCCTGAATTTTCACTATGTCTTTAGAAGTTTAAAACTCAGTCTCCTGGTGGTCCACACGGAACTGCAGGACTTATTGCACCTGTCATTGGTTTTGCATGCTTCCAGCCACTGCACTGTAATCCTCTCCTGTACAAATACAGGATCTGAGACTTTGGAATATGGTAGAGCATTGACTAAGTTTCAAACTGTTGTAATGTCCAGAAGGTAACTTCCTGAAAAGATTCCGTGGAACAAATATTTTGCTGAGGATTTTGACTTGTGCAGGGAAGGCACTAACAAAAGCACATTCTGGTTCTCTTGACTGATGGTACTGATTTTCTAAAAAAAGACTCTTAAGAGTTGGAATGGGGACTACAGTGTGAAGTTGTAGCTTACCTTGGCTGAGCTGGTGCACTCTTCTTCCAGGTGGACAATGCATATTGGTTGTGGACTTTCCAAGGCCGTCTGCTTCAGAAAAACAATAAAGACAGGTTCTGTCAGCTGCTCTGGAGACCACGACCAGCTACCCTGCTCAGTGAGGACCAGATAAAGGTAGTGTATTCCACTTTGTGCTGACACTGCTTTGGTGTATAAGTATACTTGGTTTGCTCCTTCTTCTTAAGGATGAGGCTTGTTATGCAACTGCCTTTTGCTCTAAATGTGTGAACAAATATATTGCTGCATGAGACCTCACTTCTGGGAATGGCTGTAAATATTAACTGTATTTTAAGCTCAAAATAGAAATGGTTACCAGTTGTTCTTAGAGTTAGGGTACAGTGGAAGGTTATAAATAATAATAAAATTGTACTTAGCTGTCCAGACTTCACTACTTGCATGTGTACAGAAGCATTTACGTGATCTATATGAAAAGCAAACAAAATTGTAGTGAAGGGAAATTGCCTAGCAGGGAGATGTTTTTCACAAATGCATAGCCTGCTTAGGCCTACCAGAGGAGTTCTTAGAGAAGATGATGGTTGTGATTGCTAGTCTTGATACTCTAATTAAAATAAAATTCTCTGTTTTACAGCAAATTAAGAAGGACCTGAAGAAATACTCCAAGATATTTGAGCAGAAGGATCGTCTGAGCCAGTCCAAAGCTTCAAAGGCAAGATACTTTTGGAATATAATGTAGATGAAGCTCTTGTAACCTGTCCTTAGTTATTTTGTAACAGTGAAATGCAAGTTACATTTATTTTATAACAGCCATCTGTGTTCATTGGAGTCCAGGTGGTTAGAATTAGTTCAATAGGTGGTTCAGAGAGATGCTGCTGAACTGTCAGGTTAACCAGTCATCAGTCTGGAGAAGAACTCCTGTTACCTTGCTAAGCAAAGGTGGTAAAATTTTGGAGTTCTTAGTGTGTGACTTCATTAGTCTTTAAATTAAGAAAAGATCTTTCAGTCACAAACAAATAACTCACCAAAACAGCTTTTTGATTACAGAAGAGAATATTCATTCTTTTGTTTAAGCCAGTAGAAAGTGTGTCTGTGTGTGTGAGAAAAAGGTTTGACTTGCTAGCACGTGTGTTGCATGTGGGTTTGATTTACTGGGGTGGGTTTAACAACCTCGTCCTGCCTGTGCAGGAGTTGGTGGAGAGGAGGCGGACGATGATGGAGGAGTTCAGGAAGTACCGCAAGATGGCACAAGAGCTGTACATGGAGCAGCGCAACGAGCGCCTGGAGCTGCGCGGAGGTGAGCCGTGAGCAGGGCTTGGGAAGGCCTGCTGGGGAACTGCTGCTGCTGCTCACCAAATAAATACCTTGTCCTGGGTTTGTCCAAGAGCATCCAATCTTTTCATTGCTGCCTTGTTTGGTGTGTCCAGTGTTAATATTTTCCTCCATTGCAGGGGTAGACACAGATGAGCTGGACAGCAATGTCGATGACTGGGAGGAGGAGACTGTGGAATTTTTTATCAATGAAGAAATTATTACCCTTGCAGAACCAGAGTAATTGATAAAACTGTGGTAAGATAACATAAGTCTCTGTAGAGAGAAACTTTTTTGCTATAGATTGGATAATTTGCTTGAGAGAGTCTGTTGTGTGGGTGTGGTGTTCTCTTAAGTTGGTTTATGTTTTCTCTGTGGTTAAAGGGGTCAAAAGCTTTTAGAGAACTAATTGCAGACAGTCGGATTTATGAGTTGTACTGAACAGAATACTCTGTATGTCCTGTCTTGCCAGAGTGATCAAACCCACAAGAGAGTCAGGGTCAGCCTCTGAACTCAGTGTTTTGCAGATGCTGTAAATTCTGTCAGTAGGAGGAATTGTAGTTGGTATGAGATAGGAATTTTGCCTTTTGAAAGGTTTACATGTTAGTTCAAGATCTGACAGCGTTTAAATACTGTGTATTATACAGCAAGTTGACTGTGAGCTGATAAAATTTTGAGTGAACTCAGCTATTGTTTTCTAGAAAAATTGTCTGGAATTCAGATGGTAGCAGATTTTTGTGTACTGACTGTCATGGCTTCTTGCTGAAATATTTTATTTAATCCAGGGCTTTTCCCAGTTGCTTTTTGTGAATTCATAGCATATATTTAATGTTAAAAATGGAGGCTGCTTTCAGCCCCTGTTGTAGGAAATGTCCTTTAGGGAGCTTAATGTTAAACTACTTTGATAGTGAAGGCATGTGTAGAATCTCACTTAAGGAAGAGGAGACTGGAAATGTGCTTTTTGCAGCTCTAAGTCACCCTGTAGCTCTTCAGCCTCCAGGTATCTTAAGGAGCCCAAGTGAAACATGTACAACTTGGAGTTGTAGAAAAATTAATAACCTTGATACCTTTGAATATATTTGGATCTGGCTTATCTGTGTCCCGTACATGGGAAATCTTTTTATGGAAGAGAGAGGGAGAGAAGCTGCTTAGTGTATAGATTTAAACAAACATGAGTTCAGGAAGAGGTGATGTAGCCTTTCACCAGCTGGCATCTGAGGTTGGTATAAAAGCACAGTAACTAACTCACCTCTTCTTTCCTTTTCTGCAGCACCACCAGATCTTGTGCTGAAAAGAAGTTTGTTCATTTTCTGAAAGGCTATATCAACTTTGGAATTCTTAATCCATATTCTTGCACTCTGGAAGGGTGGATGCACCAGATTTTCTCCATTCTGACACATTGTAGTGCCTTTAAGTCTTGCTGCCTGCTGCAGTGAGATACTGGAAAGGCGCTGCTTTTAAATCTTTATTCTTTATTTTTTCTTTTTTTTTTTTTTTTTTTAAGGGTTTGATTTTTTTTTTCTTTTTAAATCCACTACTACCAGTATTTACTTCCTGACCCCTGTGCAGTCCTTACCAGCTGGCAGTTTTTGCCTGTTGCCAGTGGGGTGGGGTTCACCAGTGCACCTCTGTCTCACACGCACCATGTTCCGGTTTCAGGACTCTTTCCATGTCCCCAGGGCATGGACAGGTGTTCATTTTGGTTGGGGAAAAGTCAGCAGAACCATTTCTCGTATGATGTGTCTTAGTGTGCTGAAGCAGCACTACAGTGGGCTATATCCTCCTCCTTTCAGATTGTGAAAGGATGCCTCTCCCTCAAAGAGCTGAATATGGAAATAAAAGCAGACCTATACTAAAACCAGGCTGGCTACGTGTTGTTTGTAGGGAATCTTTCCCTGGGTGATCAAAGTCAAACACACCCACAGTAATAAGAGTGTGTTTGCTATAATGACTATATGATTCTTTTGGATTTTTTTTTATCTTGGTTCCTCGTAGCTCTTCTGGCTTTGTGTTGTGGTTGGTTTGTTTTTTACAATGTGGTACAGCTCACTAATCTGTTAAGTTGACCTGTTCACTCTAATGGAGTGACTAGAAAATGACTGGATTTCTGGAACTCTTTGCAAACTGATAAAAGCCTCAGGAATTACTGGGTTAGTGTGTCTTATTCTTAAACCCTGCAGACTTCCAGAGCAGTGCTCTGTATGCACATGCCTTGTACTCCCTGTTACAGTACCTGGTTTCAATTCCAAAGGCCTCTGTTCTCAGTGAGGGAAACTGTACCTGAAGGTGCTGCAGCAGCTTCTCTGTATTTGTATTTATGAGTAGAAATTCTTTCCTGGATATTGTCAGAGCAGTTAGAGATTGGCCTGCTCCTTGCCCTTGGAGGGCAGGAGGAGAATGAGGATATTCCTGTCCTCTCTTCTGGACTGGCATGGGAAGTTGCCTCTTGACTGACTTCCTAAATGCTGAGCTCACCTGTGTGGCAGTGTGGGAAGCAGAGAGCACCCTCTGGGCACAGGGCAGGCCCAGTGAGCTGCAGGCAGCCCTGGTTCAGGGGTGTTTCAGCACTCATTTTTCTTTGTCCTCAGGTGAACGTGCTGTGATAGCAAATGCACAAATCCCATGTCCCCTTCACTGGGAACTTTTCAAAATGATTTTTTCCATAATCGTGGTAGTGACCTAGCTTCAATAGTTCACTCTTTAACCAGCAGGTGCTGTTTTTCCATAAGTCTGTATTAGTTTCCAGTGTTCTGCATTTGTTCATTCATAATCCATATAAAATATGTAGTTGATTAAAAGTTTTGTCCACAGTATTTCCCACGCTCATTTCTCAACTTGACTGGAAAGAAACTTTCTAGAAAAATTTCTAGAAAAACAGTGAGGAAGAGCTTCTAGCATGTCAAAGATCTCTGGTGATAATAGAACGATTTGGCTTGAAAAGGACCTTAAAGATCATCCAGTTCCACCCCCCTGCCATGGGCAGGGTCACCTTCCACTCGACCAGGTTGCTCCAAGCTCCAACCTGGCCTGGAAAAATTCCAGGGATGGGACATCCACCTGAATTGCTCTGGGCAACCTGGTCCAGTGTCTCACCTCCCTCAAGAATGATGGCTTGAACTTACCCAGCAGGAATCATTTTTATTACCCTTTGGTTGTGAAAAGATGACTTCTCAACCATTTTCTAAGTCACAAATTGAGCTGAAAGGTTTTTTTTTCCCCTGTATCCATGCAATGAAGTTTTACTTCTGATGTTTTATTCCTGGCTGTTTTCAAAGTAATGAAATGTAATGGTAATGTCAGAGGAACTGAGTTCTCTTCTAAGATGCTTCTCTGAAGTGTGAATCATCAGTGAGGGAAAAAAAAAAAAAAACAACAAAGAAAAAGCACCCAGAATTGTTGCTCCTGCAGGAGCTTTGGAAGTTGACCAGGTGTCCTGACCAGCAGCTCAGGCCTTTTCTCACCTGTAACTGGCATTTCTGACGCTGCTCCTTTCAACTATTGCGTCTTTTTCTCTTGTGTTCCTTGCTTCAAATGCTTTTTGCAGATTGTGCGCTACTGAAATTGTTTTATGGGGTTGTATTAAACCAGTCCCTTTGGCATGTGTTGTAACATCACTAGGAGTTGTAGTAGGGAAGAAGAGTCATCTTGGATTGAATCCACGTGCTGTGCAGCTTCACATTCTCTGCCCCTGGTTTTCAGCCTGTGCCTTTTTAAGGGCTTCAGAAGGATGGGCAAAGCAGAAGCAGGTTTGTAGGTACTGTCTGGAGCTATATGAAGGGTGGGGAAAAAGGCTTCCAACAGCTCTTGTACCTCCACTGAGTGCCCTTAAGGGTCCAGAGTTTGGGTGGGAAGGGAAACAAACCTTAAGCATTAAGATAGTATCTCTCATTGTTTTTGTTGAAGTATTGTATAAAGTATTTTTAATGATTGTTCTTAAATAGCAAGATTAACTGGACCAATTCATATAATCCTGGGCTAGTCTTCACTCTCACAGTCTTTGTTTTGAGTTTGTAATAAATATTCTCATGACCTCTTAACCACCCAGAGCCCTTAATGCAAACTTCACAGAACAAATTTTGTTCACTTCCTATACTAAGCTTTAACTACTTAAATTCTAATATTTTTGATAAAGCCTTACTGTAACTTTCATGAGCTTTGGCTCATTTACTGTCAATAAATAATGAAGACAAAAGGAGATCTTGGTTTTGTGATTTTTTTGTAAAATTTTTTCAATAGATTGTAAGGAAGGACTTACACTAAAAATGCTGAAGGGGATTGACTTCCTGAACGTGACAATTGTGAAATGCCACTGTGTGTGAAGTGACAGCGCAATGGAAGTTTGCTCAGGGAGTTGGGCCTTAATTTGGGCTTTTAGGGGGGTCATTTTGCTGATCCTGACCCCTTTCACTGTTTCCTGTGCAAGGTGTTGCTTCCTGCAGCCCCTTCCTGCCGAGATCAGCGTGTGGCTGCTGCCCCTCCCTGTCCCTGCAGTCACGTCCCACCTGGGGGAGCGCAGGTGTTGCCTCTCTTTTCCATCCCTGGGGTGATGGCTGCTGCCTCTGCACCGCTCATTCTCCTGCCTGTGCAGCCTGAAGGGCTCCAGCTCCATGTGCTCCTCCCTGGGCAAATGCCCCAGCCCCGAGCTGGGATCGTCCCACACCTCGGCCATGAAGGAGCAGCAGCTGACGGTGAGTCCACTCGCTCAGGGGAGGAAATGGGATGGGGAGGAGCAGCTGGGTTGTACCCAACCCTGGCATCCTTCAGTATCCTTTCATATCATGTTCTCCAGCTGTCTTCTGGTGTTCCTGGGCTCTGTGGTCTGGCCAGTGGAGAGAAAAACAGACTTGTGCTAACCAGGCATGATATAAAGCAAAAGTTGTGTATAAGTGTCCTGCAGAGGAAAAAAAATGTGCTGTAGGGCAGGTGGGGCTGGGTAACCTGGCAGGTGGTGATGGTGGGTAGTCCTCAGTGTGCCTGTTTTTTGGGGGTCTGACACATTCATAATAAACAGCCCAAAGCTTCTGGGATTACAGTCCTGCATCTCTCTTTGTTGATCCCAGTAAGAGGAATGCTTTGAAAATGTAATCCTCTCCCAAGTTTCAACCTTCAACCCTGTGCCTCTCAGTTAAACTGAAGCACTGCTCTCACAGTGTGCTGAAACACGACTGGGGCGAACACAGAAACCTCTGCTCAAACTGGAATCGCTTAAAATAAAGTCAATAATATGTGGAATACCTTGCATTCCTCTCTAATGCAAGGAAAAGCCTTAGTACTTGGTGTGACCCAGCTCCACATGCTGCTTATTTGGGTTTGTTTTCTTACCCTCAGTGGCTGGGGCTCACAAATACTGTGATTAACTGGACCATTCTGAAGGTTAAGTCTGTTCAAGAGAGACTTGCATGATCCCCTCTGCCTCCTGCAGAATTTGGGATTATGGTGTACCAGATAATATTTTTAAATGCTTTTAAGAGCATTTCAGCCCTTGGGAATGAGATGCTCACAGCAGTGTCACTCAGCTGTGTTTAGGAAGATGATGAAGCTGCAACAATTAACTTATTCTTGTGAATATTATAAAGCTATCCAAAGCCAAGGAACTCACCTTGTACTCGGAGATGTTCCCAGTGAAGAAACGTTCCTTTGCTGGAACTTCTCAAAACTGGCTACTACAGTGCTTAAGACTGGGAGCTGTTTGTGAAGCCCTCATTTAATTGACACATAGCTTGTTATTGTGGAACTAAATCTGGTTCCTATAGAAACTAGCTGCTTGTGACTGGTGGGGCTGTAGAACGAGTCTGTTTTGATAACTCCCACCTCCTGATGGGGTGTTGTTCCTGTGCAGTGTTTTAACAGCATCAGCTCTCCTGGCAGGAGCTGCAAAGGGGATGTTGCTGTGTTTAATGGAAGGGGAAAAAAGCCATGGAAAAGTGAAAATAGAATTTTTCAAATCTCTGTTATTAACTGAGACCTCAAGGGCAGTTAGGTGGGATTTCAAATAGACCCTCCACCAGGCACACAGGTTTGGGATTGTGCCACAGCTGCAAAGTGAGCAGGACCTCAGCTTCAGGGGGCCCAATTAACCCCACAGCTGATGTGTGACACCACATTTTCTCTACGGCTTCACCTGTAGATTAAACAGGCTGAAATACATGTGCTCTTGCCTATTATTAGTGCTGACAAATGGGTTGTGCCATTGTGTTTTAAATCTTCGAGTCGAATTATCGTCTGTGTTTCAAGCAAAGCAGTGTGTTTCTGACTGATTGAGTTGTGGCACGAGGCACTGGCAGTTAATTGCTACTTTATAATCACTCCAGTCCTGCAATGAATTCCAGCTCCTGAGGAACCCTGTGGGAACTGCACAGATCGGGGCCAACTTGCTCTGATCTGGTTGAACAGGCTCATAACGATTGCTACCTGGGATTAAACAAAATGGGTACTTAGTGAAATGCAATTCCCTTTCTTTGTCATGGATAACTTTAATCAGTGTTTTGGAAGCACCAGGGGAATCTGTAATCGTGCTCAGCCCTAGGACTGTTGGTGCCACGGTCCCAGACCTCCGAAGGTTCCCGCTGGCAGCTGCAATGACACGGCTGAGTTCACTTTGCCACCTTCTCTGTCAATCAGTCGGAGTCTTGCTGTGTTAGAGGCAGAAATGGCAGAAGAAGGAGGAAGAATTTGTCAAGATAAAAGTGCAAATCACGAGGGGATGAACTCATTTAAACTTTATAAACTTCCTTAAACTTTCAGGCCTTAAGCTTTAAGGTTTTGAGTTTGATCAGCAGAAGAGTCGCAGCGAGCTGTAGCCCTTGCTGCTGAGCCCTGCTGCAGGTGTGTCTGGGTGTCCTCAGCATGGATAAGCCACGTGTGTGCTGTGTGTGCAGGTGGCTCTTCGCATCCGACCCCTCAGTGAGGCTGAAGAGGAGGAGGGAGCTGCGCTCGCTGCCCACAGAGTGGGCGAGCAGGTGAGCTGGGGACCCCCACCGTGGGCACTGGGGACTCTGCCGGGTACCCCATGGGCCACCACGAGCCTTTGGCTTTTCTGGTTCATGTGCAAGCACCTGCTTTCAAATCCTGCAAAACCCCTGCCCTTGCTGGGACGTGGCAGGGATGCAGCTTCCCGTGCAATGGCACTTCTTTCTTCCAGTTCTGCATCTCCCACCTCTTGCTCCCCTTTTTCTCAGAGGCAGGAGTTGCAGGAGGCCCCCACTTACCTCTTCTGCATTGCTATATCTGTTTACATATTTTTATTGTGTCCTTGTTATTTACCTTCATTTTCAATGTAAATCTCATTATTTTCTTTTGTGCTTCAGCTGATCTTTCTCTGAACCTTTCCTGAACACACAGTAATTATGTAATATATCTGGTCTCCACTCAATAGTCAAATGGTAGCAGCCCTCCGAAGCAAAGAGAACATGAATCTCTCTTTCCCCTTTATGGATTATCTTACAAATGCAATTTTTGTTTAGCACCTTACCCGTGAAATACCTTTTTTTTTTTCCCCTCTATTTTTAAAGCAGCCATTAATCTCACAAGGATATCAGTTTTATTTTTATACAGCTTATTCAGACTTGCATCATCTGCCTCAAGATCTATTTTCTCTAATGGAAATCTGTGAAGGAAATGTGCATTGCATTAGTCTGAGTAACTTCTATCCATGTGAATGCTTTTCTCTTAATAATGCAAATAACTGTAATTATGAAAGCAAATTAAGTGACTGGGCAGTTGAAGTACTTGGATTTCCTGGTGTATTTTGATTTGCATTTATGTTCCCTGCTATTTTTACTCCCAGCTGAACTCATTTAGAACTGCCTCTGTCTGCTTATTAACTCTAACTCAAAACTGACTCTGCTAGTGGCTTGTTATGTTTTAATGCTTCCATGCAGTAGCAGAAGATTTGTGCTTTTAGAACACTGCTGGTTAGACCAGGCAGTAGCCCCAGGTTGGGAAAGAACTCTTTGGATGCATGGAGACACCGTGAGCAAAACTTGGATGTTACAGGAGCTCAGTAAAAGAGGCCTGAAAGTGTTAGTAAACACTTCTAAAGGAAACATGCTGGCCTCATTCTCCAAGCTCTGCTCTTGCCTGTCACAGTTACATGTGATTAAGTGTCAGTCCATCTTTTGCAGGCAAATCCTGCTGCTGAGAACAAACCAGGAACTCCCTTTGGAGTTTATTCTTGTGTTGCTTCAGGTTTTAAGGTCTGAGCTAGACCAGTGAAAACTAAAGAATTTCCTAAAAGCAACAATAAAAAAGTAATTCTGCTAATTGAAAACTTGCAAATCAAGGAGATACTTGTTTGAGATTTGGAATTTAGCAGGAAATGCAAAAGAAAAAGAAAACCCAAAGTTTTGACATTTCCTGAACTCCACGGGCACCTGTCCTGGACACTTGTCTCTCACCTGGTGCACCAATGCAGTTATTCTATCAGTCAGGTAGTGGTTGATCTATGCTCTAATTGCTTGACTAATGATCTGTTTACCTGAGAGAGAGTGAAAGCTGCTCTGGAGCAGGAGGCACAGGGCTCTCTGTCCTTCCCTTGAGCCTTGAGCATCTCCTTAGGAGCCATCTCCGTGGAGCAGAAACCCGTTCTCCACAGTAATAGTACACTGTGATAATCATGTACTAAAATAGATCCTAAAGGACGGAAAAGAAACAGAACCAGTTCTGTAACCTGCTGCAGCTCCTCTCCCACCTTTGTTTTTTCCTTAATAAAAGCCAGAAATAGAATGAAGTTTCTGTCCCTGAGCAATGCAGATACTTCGATCGGTCCTGCTGCACGAAAGGCTTTGGAAGATGACTTTGGGCAATTGTGCTCCTGAAGAACCTGACTATTTTCTTTCATAATTCCTGTCTGAATCTTAGCTGAAAATTGAGGTAAGAGGTTCTGTCCCCCCCTGCCTGCATGGGGGCCCGTTGGGTGTCGTGTCCCTGCAGCCACTGCTCTTGCCCAATGCCGGCGACCGTTTCACTGCTCAACAGACCTTCAAAGCATTTTGCAGTTCTCCAAATGACAGGAGTTGCAACATCACTTGCAAAACCAAGTCTGTCGGCCTCAGCATTGTGTGTATAAGTGTTTTCCAGGCAAAGCTGTAGTGCAGCATTCCCCTGGCCAAGGATAGTGCTGTAAGGAATCCCCACAGGCTGTTAACCAAACCCAGACCAAGCATTTCTTCTCCTGACTTTGTCCCCTAACAGGGGGTGGTCCTGATGGATCCAAGTGAAGATCCAGATGACATCCTGCGAGCCAACAGATCCCGAGAAAAAACCTTTGTATTTGACATGGTTTTTGATCACACAGCAACCCAGGTAACAGCCTTCCCTTTTTTTAACCCAAGGGCTTCACACTACAATTGTTTTCCCTGCTTGGATGAATGTTTTTGGCAGGTGAGTAGAACTGCAAAGCCCAGAGGCCACAAGTCACCCAGACAAAAGGTGACAGTGCTGAAGGTGAGAGGGCTGTGAGGGTTTTCCTTTTGCCAGACAAGTGGGGGGAGACACATGCAGTGTTCAGTCTGCCTCTCCCTCCCACTTTGGCCTCCCTAGGGGTGACAGACCTGAGCAGGGATGAAGAGCTTTGTCTCCTGAGGTCTCTGGGGAATGAGATCACTGTCGTATTTTTGGCTCTGTTGCTCACACAGCTTTCCCCTGTGCCTCTGTGGTTTCCCAGGCTCGTGGAGGGTGGTCTGGTGCCCTCACTGAGCCACGTTTTGCAGGCAGGTATGAGGTACACTGTGAGGATTTAATCAGCACCTGCATTTCGTGATCACCCCAGCCTTGCTTCTCACTGCAGTTTGGTCATCTGTGTTCTCTTTCACATCCAACTTCAGTGTGGCCCCCTTGTATGCTACCTAAGACATTTTTGGAGGCCCAGTGGCACTTCTCCATAAAAGATAAGGTCATGGAGAGAATTTATTCCCTTCTTCAGCAGCCACAAAAAAAAGACACAGTATTTCATGTTCAGAGTCCAAAAAAAAAAAATCATATTTACGGATATTTCTTTTAGTAGGCTCCTGCATCTTGCCTGCCTTTAGGTAAAATTCAATAAACCTCTGTGCTTTTCTGCTCATTTTGGTGATGTATCAGAATTCAAACAGCTTGCGAATCCTTCCAAAGCCCAGCAAATTTCTAAAATAAAGTCAGAAAATAATGGAGAATGCAATTACGGATAGGATATTTGGACAGCTGTTATACCTGACCAAAAATCTGTGCTTTTTTGACTGAACTAGGAGGAAGTCTATGTGTCCACGACCAAAAGCCTGATAGAAGGAGTTATTTCTGGATACAATGCAACCATTTTTGCATATGGTCCGACAGGTAAAGTAGTCCCTGTAGCTGTACTGCCCCAGATGAATAAAATAGCCCAGTGAAAACCAGAAATATTGAGCCAATTAAGTGCTTACTGTGAGAACAAGAGTGAAGCATTAAAATACCATTCTCACTGGGAAGTGTGAACCTCACTGAAATGCCAAAGTAACAGTGAAGCTGCCCTGTTTGAAAAGTCACTTAATTGAGGTAGAATTCAGTAGAGACAAATCTTCCCATTAAAAGGAGGAGGTGATAAGGGCATCTGTGCAATGCTGGAGGCTGATCTCAGGAGAACTGATGTAGCTGTAGAAAGCATTTATACAGAGCAGAGTATATGAAAATATATTTCTACTCCTGCTCTGAACACCTCGGTGAGCAGTCACCCTACCTGTCTGCCCCTCTGCCAGGCCTCTGCCCACTCTTTTTGGATGGCACACACCATGCCTCTCCTCAGGCACTGTCATTGCAGGGTGAGAAACTGGAGTAACTGAAGGAAATTAGGGGGTAAAGCACAGAAATCACTAGGAAACCAGGTATCATTTGTTGTGGAAACTTTCTCATGTGGAAGTTGGGCTTTGCTGCTGCTCTCTGTATCCTCAACAGGAACAGGAAAAACCTACACGATGCTGGGGACGGACAGTGAGCCGGGGATTTACATCCGTGCTCTTGATGACCTTTTCAAGGGCCTTGGAGCCACTGCTGAGGACGTGGATTACACAGTCTCCATGTCCTACCTGGAGGTGAGGTCTGTGCTGCCTTGGTCCAGCCTGTGTGGAGCAGCTGTGAGGGGTGTCTGAGTCTGTCCACTGAAATGCAGGACCAGCTCAACCCTAAGGACCCAGCGCTCGTCTCAAACCAACCTGCCCTTTCTTACCCTCAGATCTATAACGAAGTGATCTGTGACCTCCTCAACCCGTCCTCGGGGTTCTTAGACTTGAGAGAGGACTCCAGAGGCAGCATCCAGATAGCAGGAATTACAGAAGTCTCCACTACAAATGCTCAGGAGGTACCTTGAGCTGTGGTCTGCAGCAAGGGGAAAGGGAGGGTGTTTGTGCTTTCATGCAGCTGTGCTTTAAAACTTCTTGACACTTTCCTGTTGCCTGTGCTTACTCAGCAGTAAGGATGTTTTGTAGCAGGATATTGGTGGGACTGGATTAATGTGATGAATTATATGGGAGGGGCTGATCAGGGAGTAAAGTGAGTGGTAGGAACCAGGGTTAAATTGCCAGCTGTCCATCCTCTGCCTCCCCAGGGTGCACGCTGCATTCCTGGAAGGACAGGAGTGCTTTGATTTCTGCACACATGTGTCAACAACCATTTGGAGAGTGAGAAGAATTAACTAAACCCCCCTGAGCGACACTGATGTGCACTTAAACATGTGCCTTGGACGTGAGATTAAGAAAATTTCACAGAAAACAGCCCCAAACCCGACACACCCTCACCTACAAGGTCACGAACCACGGGGAGAGAGATCTGGGGATAACCAACAGCAAACCCCTGCCAGCAGGAGCAGAACAGTTTGCTGCTGCCCCGGGTGAGGGGTTCAGTCTGAGGGAACGCTGTGCCACGGCTCAGGCAGAGCTGTGCGTGTCCATGGGCTCCTCTGCCTCCTTCAGATCATGCAGCTGCTGACGAAGGGCAACAAGCAGCGCACGCAGGAGCCCACGGCGGCCAACGGGGCGTCCTCCCGCTCGCACGCCGTGCTGCAGGTGACGGCGACGCAGAGGAGCCCAAGGGAGGGGACTGGCGAGGAAGTGCGGATCGGGAAGCTCTTCATGGTCGACTTGGCAGGGTCAGAGAGAGCAGCTCAGGTACGGCCAGAGCTCGGCAGCTTTCGGGGAGACTCGGCTGGATTCCCTGGGCCGGCCTGCCCTCAGCTCTGGGGTGAGGGGCAGCACTGGGCGCTTCTCTGCTGGTTCAGAGCAGTGGTTTGTGCCTGAGACTGCCTGAAAATAATGACTAAGTCTGGAGATATTGGTGATATCTTTTATAAGGCCAGCTGCAATGATTGGAAAAATGTAATTCTGCTTTTGGGTTCTGCCTTTCCTCGGATCTGAGAAAAACAGCAGCGAATTTCACATCTGAAGAGAAGCTGTGGTTTGTTAGGCAGGGATTAGCTGGGCTGTTGGAGAGAAAGCTGATGGTCATGGAATAGAGGGATGCTGGTGGGTGGAAAATAAGTCAGCTGGCTCCTATGGGAAGGAGGAAATGCTTGAACTTGGGGAGGTGATTTGAGGAAGACAGATTTTACACACCAACTATTTTTACTGAGACCAGAAGTGCTGGAGTGATGTAGTTATGCACCCTAATTTCTGAAATAATCTTTAGAAGAGAGTAAATAGCTATCTTTTAAGAACCAAGAGGGCAAAGCTGGACCATACTCCAAGAAACTTACTCCTACCAGCACCTCCGTGCCTCAGAGTGGGGTTTAGCCCAGCACTCTCAGGTTGATTTTTGCAGGAGGCATTTCTTTGGTATCCAAGCCCTGACCCCGGTGATGCCACACGTCTTCCTGAGGTGCAGACCCACTGTTCTCAAGCGTGGGGTTTGTCTGTCTGTCCCCCTTCCCACTTTCTCCTCCCAACAGACTCAGAACCGGGGCAAGAGGATGAAGGAAGGAGCCCACATCAACCGCTCCCTGCTGGCTTTAGGCAACTGCATCAACGCTTTGAGCGAGAAGGGCGGGAGCCGGGCCCAGTTTGTCAACTTTCGAGACAGCAAACTCACCCGCCTGCTGAAGGTGGGGCACAGCCCCCTGCACCCAGCTCGGGGCTTGAGGGCTGATCCTTGACTATCTCTGTGCATTGCCACGATCCAGCTTGGAATGCTCCTCCAGGATCTCACGTGAGCTTTGCAATGCACCAGGGCCTGACTGGGACAGAGCGGTGCCTGTAACGTGATCTCTGAGATTAAGGGAGGACCTTCTATAGGGTTAAAGCAATTTTAAAGATTTGGGCCGTACATCTCAGAGCTCACAGGTGACCAGGGATTTCTTACATTAACTTACTGCCTTCGAATGTTTTATTCCTTCTATAAGATTTGGCTGAAATTGGCCAATAAATTTGTTGGGGCACGAGGGAGGAAGACTGAGAGTGACTGTGTGCTGTCACAAGTTGTCTCTCCCTTAGGAAATCAGAAAGGTTGCAGACACACTCTTTGCCACGCTGGTTATTTTATGGACCCTTTACAACCTCATTTATGAACCTCCCCTCAAGCCTTGGTGCTGAGCTATCGCTGCTGCTGCATGACAGATGTGTTTTCTAGAGGATAGTGGGGAGGAGGAGAGATGGAGAGAAAGTCAAGGCTCCTGTTGTGAGCGGAATTGAGAAGCTGCCACTGCATTTGTGGAAATTGCAATTCTCTTGCAAAAATTCTTCTTTTGTAGCAAGTTAATTACTTATTGATTTTGCTGTTGGTGGTGAGAGGGCCTAATGAATGGTCTTTCACCAGCACTTCCTTAACTCCTAATTGGGATTCTCCATCAGAATCTCAATGAACTGCAGGGGTACCCATACACAGTGGTTACCCCTGAGCAGCAAAACCCTGTCACATCCCTACTAACCATATCAACATTGCATCCCTCCAGGATTCCTTAGGGGGCAACAGCAGGACCGTTATGATTGCACACATCAGCCCAGCCAGTTCCTCCTTCGAAGAATCTCGAATGACCTTGATCTACGCCCACCGAGCAAAAAACATCAAGACACAGGTACCAGAGCAAACCAGTCCCCAGGAGTTTGGGCTGAGAGATTCAGTGAGGGTGGTGAGGCCCTGGCACAGGTTGCCCAGGGAAGGTGTGCCTGCCCCATCCCTGGAAGTGTTCAAGGCCAGGTTGGACAGGGCTTGGAGCAACCTGGGACAGTGGAAGGTGTCCCTGCCCGTGGCAGGGGTGTGGAAAAATATGACTCTTTAAGGTCCCTTCTGACCCAAACTATTCCATGACTCTACGACTAAAAGCTTTCAAATGGAAATAGAAGATGGAAGGGGTGAAAGGAGAACACACTTCAGGAGTGGGCAGTGCAGGTTGGTGTAGGGGCTCAGTGTGAGTGAGAGAAGAAATACAGATGAAGGGAACAGTGGAAAGCAAAATGTTTGGGTTGTGAATGAGAGGAGGAATGTCAGAGTGAAAAGAAGGGGCAGAATAATGGAAAGGCTGAGGATAATGTGCCTGGTATGGATCTGGGTGCACAATGTAAGGAATGATAGGTAGAAGGTGACAACAGTGTATTGGGAATGTCCCAGTGGGGATGCTGGGCCTGGAAGAGGAACTAAGGGCCTATAGCAATGAAGAATAAAATGGACAGGTTTGTGGGGTGAAGGAAGATGAACAGTGATCTACAACAGGCTTTTCCTTCCTTGTGGATCTATGTGTTTCTCCTGTGGACACAGGCTCCCTCTGTCATATTTTGGGAGCTTCCAAGGATTAGGGAAAACCACTAACTTACAGTCTCTCCACTCACGAGGGAAAATCCTTTCCCATCACAAGATTCAGTGTCCTCCAGCTGAAAGCCTGGCTTTGTTTGCAGCCCTTGTACCAATCGTGGGACCAACACTCCCCTATTCTGGCTCCCCAGGTGAAGTGCAACCTGCGGAACGTCTCCTACCACATGGACCAGTACACCGGCATCATCGCGGAGCTCCGCAGGGAGATCCAGCGCCTGAAGGCAAGGGTGGAGGGCCAGGAGAAGGAGAAAAGTGCGGCTGGCCCTGACCTCGGGGTTCTGCAAGGTAGAGCCAGGAGCTGGAACGGTTCTGGGGTGTCTGGAAGGACGAGAGCGGGAGAGGAGCTGTGTGGGTGGGTTGTGGCAGTGCCTGGTGGGTCTCAGTGCACACATGGCTGGGGGAAGCTCAGCAATGCTTGTAGAGAAGCAGAGTGGAAAACACAGTCTGATGGGCAGTGGAGGCAGGTGGGGGAGCTGGAGGTGTTTTTCTGCATGAACCTCTCTCTGATGCACCCTGTGACTCTGGATATTGCCCTTCTCAGCGTCTCCATCAACATTAAAATGTGTTACATTTCACAAACCTGCCCTTGAAAAGAGATTTGACATCAAATGGTGCCATTTGCTGGGGGAAGTCCTGTCTGTCACAGAGAGGTGACCGAGTTGTTGTAGCCTGTGTCATCATGGGCTCTGAGGCTGTGTCGGGACACCGAGCTCTGCTCTATGGCTCGTTGCATGTAATTAAAAAAAGAAAAGAACAGAGAGACAGGCAGGGCAAAGATTTTAAAACACTGATTGTTCTGCCCCAGGGATTGCTCCTTTTGTCAGTGAATCTGGCAAGAAATGAAATAAAAATAGTCAAGTTCCCTGACAGACTAGACCTGAGATATAATAGGCCTCTGCTACCAGTACCCAAGGTCATTTCTAGATAACAAGCAGAGAAAACTGGTACCTTTTTTGTTTTGGTGGGTGGAAAGGCAGAATAGATGTCCCTGCAATGCAGTATCCTCTTAATATTCACAAAAGCATGGCAATGAGCCCTATTTATTGCTAATAATACAATCATAAAGCTATACCAGAATTCTTTGGCACATGATGAACTTGACGAGACTGCAGAATGAGGCAGAGTCCTGTAAATGAATGTCTTGTAATGTGTGGCTTGGTCCCAGAGTAGTTTTGGGGGACTTCACAGAATTTCCCCTGGCCTAGTGTCAGCTCAGAAGTGTCTTTTCCTGCAGCAGAGAGGCAGCAGGGCTCTGAGGCACCCAGCAGCCAAGCAATGAGCACCTTGCGGGCGCAGCTGATCGGGGCTTTCAGGGAGCAGATGGAGATGCGTCACAGCCTGATGGAGCTGGAGAACACCAACATTGAGCTGCACGTGGACACCTGCAGGCACCTCCTAACAATTGCTGAGTGAGTACCTCCTCGGCTTCCAGCACAGTGTACACAGGGACCTCCAAACTCACCACGGGAAGTGAGTAGCCATAGCTGCATAAGGCAACCAGCACATATTGCATCGAGTTAAGGCTCAAGACTAAAAGTGGGGAAAAGCACTGTCCTTCCCATGGGAAGACCACATAGGAGGCCTGTCTTACAGATTTCCAAAGGGGAGGAAGCTAACTGTGCTCTTCTGCGTGGTTTGTCCAGCTCCAGAGCAGCCTGGACTAATTAGTTCTGCTGCTGTCATGGAAGAACAAGCTGGATAGACACAGTGAAGGGCCATGCACCAGTAGAGCCATGTCACTATGTCCCAGAAGTTCCTTTCTTTTTCTGGCTGGCAGCTGGGAACGAGAGAAGGCTCAGGGTGCACGTAAGGATGACATGCCAGCTAAGGAGGAGAAAGGAGAGAACGTGGAGGAGGAAGATGGGGAAGTGGATGTCGTGGATTCACCTGAACCTCATGAAGTTACAGTAGCAAGAGAAGAGATCAACCTGCTGCTGGCAGAACAGCGCAAGACAGTGGCCCTGAAGGTGAGGAGGGGAAGGTGCCCTTAGGATTTCTAGTCTGGCCTCTGCCTGGTGGGTGTTTGAGGGCAGGATGGCAGCAGAGGATAACTCAAAGGTTCGTGTGGATTTGGGCTCAACCACAAAAGCAGTGGGGCAACTGGACTCCTAAATAATTTGGGCTGCTGAAGGAAGCATCTTTGCATCATCCCCATATCCTTGTGGTTTTTAGGATGAAGGAAAAGCACCCATGGGGCTGGTATCCCCTATAAGTGAGCTAATCCTTCCCATTTTGAGGGTTTGTCATTCACTGGTTGTTCCATGTGTTAGTAATTGCTTTTAGTCATTATTTTTTTGGTAGTTCCCATTAACATTTGAGTTCCTCTAGGCAAGGACTGTGCATCTGTATATATCTGCCATGACTGAAATATGGTGGCTGGTAGTAGAACAAGCGAAATACAAAACACTTCTTGTAGATATTACTTCAATCTCAGCATGAAGGACACAGCAAAGATTTGCTCAAATGCCTTTGTTGCCCCAAGAAGCTGAGCTGCCTTGGCAAACCCCTATCTGTCTTTTTCAGACAGAGCTGGAGCAGCACTTAGCAAATGCCAAGAAAAAAGCTTCCCAGATGGAGGAGTTTTTCCCTAGACAAATCGCTAGTGAGGATCAGCAGGAGGTGCTCAGGCTTCTCTGCAGAGCCCATGAGCTTCAGCTTGGCAACACAGAGCTGCAGGCAAATACACTGTACAGGGAGAATCTATTGTGCCAGAAGGATTTTGTGATCCAGCAACTGCAGCAGCACTTGTTACTCTGTGACGACATCATTCAGCAGCAGCATATGCTGATAAAAGGTAAAGCAGCACCTTTTCTCCTGCTTTGTCCTTATCTCCAAGCTCTGTCTTCTGATGGCAAACTGGAGAACAATCCATCCAGAAAACACTGTCTTGGGCATCCTGACTTCACAGTTCTCAGTTGTTTCTCTAGGAGTTATTTTTAAGTCTTCCTCCTTGTCTCTGCTCCAGCCCAGAACATTCCTATCCCAGAGACGCTGGCCAGGTTACACCACCTGCACCTCTCTGAGCTGGAGGAGGGGGTGCTGAACCGCCTACTGCTGCTACACTCAGTGATGTCCAGCATGCTCAGGGTAAGGCAGAGCAGCCTGTGGTGCTGGAGAATCCACGCTGTCCTACGATGTTGTCATGGCCATGGATTCACACACACAGCCTGGCTGGGTCCTGGTGCCAGTCAGGAGCTGCACACAGTTTGTTTTATGAACATGTCGCCTCTGGAGCTCTACTCTCCTTCCCTCAGAGAATTAAGGCTTTTGGCAACAGAGAAGCACCCAGGCAGTGCTGTGCATGACCCAGCTGCTGTTGTGTCAGATTTGAGAGAGAAGTGGCTTGGTTGCAAAGAGGAAAGCGAAGGTTAGCAAGTGACTGCCAAAGGAGATTGTTATCCAGAGACATCTACTCGCTCATGGCACAGTTGTTATTGAGGCTTTCAGGTCTTTCCTGACAGAAAGGAAAGATGCTGCTGGCCCCTTTTCCTTTGGAAAACAGTGTTTTGAGACAGTAAGGGGCTGCCAGGAAATTGCCAGCCTTCAGCAGGGAGTCCAAGCACCAGTGTCTCCTGTTTATTATGCTTGTCTAGAATGAACGGGGCAAGGAGTTGGGTTTCACCTTGAATAATAAACTTAATGTTAGTCATGTTGTTATATGAGAAATTAAACTACTCTGAGTGCCCCTCTACAGGAGGGGAGCAAATAGCAGGTGGCTGGAACTATGCAGAAGCACATGGGGTATCAAGAGTGCCTTTGTGATGCAGGCTGAGAGCCTGGGCTGCAGAAGGGGCTTTACAGTGAGAAAAATCTGCTGAGGATCTCATTCTTCCCTCTTCCTGCAGCCCCACAACAGCCCTTCTCTGGATGTAAGTCAGCATCTGGATCCTAATAAAGATGAGATCAGAAAGGGTCTGCCTGGGAAAATGAAGGATATTCCCTGGGGGGTGAAGTTTGACATTCCCTCCATCACCCTTGAGTCAGACAGGTAATGTGAGTCTTTCTCATTATTAAACTCATTCTCTAGGGCACAGAGACCTGGTAGCTCCCAGCTAAGTCCACAAAGCTGGGAGATATCAAACTGGAAGGACCTCTAGAAACTGGAATCTGCCAGAAGAGACTTTCCTGGGACACTGTTCTTGCAAAACAGCTCCATGGTTTAGCAGAAGCCTTCTCTGCAGAGAGAGGCTATGGGACAAGTTCCAGTTTGCTTCTGTTGGTGGGCAAATGTTTAAACCAAGTAAAGCAGCAAAGTTTGTGAGGATAAGGGGACAAAATACCTCTCCTTCATGAATCCTGAAGTATTCCTTGCTGTGTTCTTTATTATCATGTTTACCAGGTTTCTGGCTTTCTCCACAGCTTGAGAACTCTTAGCTAGACGTGTTGCTTCTCTCCCTGTGGATAAGGGGCCTGTGCTTTCATCTCGTAACCTGCTGGCATATTCTGTTCACAGTGGCAGCTGCAGATCATCTAAAAAAACACCCTGTAGGAAGGAGGGGTCTCTGGACACCCATCTCAGCCCAACTTTCTCTGGTTTGCCAAAAAGCCCAGCTCAGCAGGTCAGTATGGCAGGAACTGAACTCAAGGCACATTTGATGTGGAAAGCAGTTTCCTCTTGTGATGAAAAAAACATGCACAGCAGCTAAATATAATGTATGTGAGGAAGCTAAACCTCAGCAGGTGATAAAATCACTCCTAGAGCACTGGCCTTGGGTTTAAAACCTGGGATTTAACTAAGAGGCCAAGGCTTAGCTGCCATCTCCAATCTAGACACTCTCTCAGTGTGAATCACCCATCTCCAGTGTGTCCAGTTCACTCAGGAAGAGGAGGGACAGTTAGGAGCTCATCAGTTCCTTGCTCACTGACTGACTGACTTTGTAGCCATGGCTGTGTATGGGAGATACACAGTCAAAAAGCTTTGCTTTTGTTTCTCTCTACGCAGAAGTTATTGTAACAAAATTTCAGGTGAAATTTAATGCCTTCCAAATGTTTCAAAGTGCTTTGAAGGGGCAAAGTATAAAAGCTTCGAATGAAAAGCACATTAGGCTGCAATTGCTTTGATTTTCAGCAGAAACCAACAGATGTTGCTGCAGGGAAGTTCACTCCCAGGCTGCATTCCCCCACCTCTTTAGGCTTCCATGGGAAAAAGTCACCTGCAGACATTGCTGCTGTTCTGCTGAGTCCAGAGACCTTGGAGGAAATTGCCACCAGCACCAAAAGCATCTCCCTCATTGCAGCCGCTCCAGAGCCCAGCACAGAGACCTTGGGAGCAGAACCTCCCCAGGCCACACCTCTGGGGAGGATGTGCTTGAGCTGAAGTATCCAAAGGCCAGTTCTACCCCAGATGGTCAGACAAGAGACAGGGCATGTATTGGAGGGCTGCTGTCAGAGCCCACAGCTGGGAGCCAGCTGTGCTCCCCAACCAGGGGAGAGCTGAAGAGCAGGAGAGAGCAGGAGATGCCTACTGGGAGGACAGCCAGGAAGAAAAGATCTCGCTCTCTTGAACCAAACCTCCACAGGGTAGGAACACAAACTGCTTTTGTGTTTCTTTCTGAAGGGGATGGGTTGAGCAGAAGGCATAGAGCCAGTGAGGCTAGGGTGGGTTTTAAATACAGGAAGAGAAATGTAGTACAAACTGCATGGGGAGATAAGTTAATTATCTTTATTCTTCCGTAACATCCTTGACCTCCTGCCTAAAGAGCAAGCTAAGCTGGTCAGGTGGGAAAGGAATCTTTTTGGTACAATGTGGCAACAGTCAGAGGTCACAGACATCACCACTGAGTTTAACTCCACTTTGGTGTTTTCAGATCTCAAATGCTAAGCCCTGGACTCGCTCAAGCCCCAACACAGACACAGCTTGTGAGAACCACCTGTGCCGAGCCAGCCTCTTCCATCAGTCAAAAGCTGCAAGTAGCATATCCATTGCCACAAAGGTCAGGGCTCCTGCCAGCCACAATTCAGGTAGGGGCCAGAGAGATTTGTCTGTGCCTGATATCAGCTCTGACAGATGGTGACAATCCTGCAGCAGCTCTGTTGAAGACAGATTGTCATGTAAGAAATAATTCAGAGTAAACACTAATGATCAGAACCATTAGTAAGCTGATCTGATTGGTTTTTATATGGGCCAGGTAGATTTTTCATGGGTAAGAAAGCACATCCGTTGTAGACCACTGCCTCAGCTATGCCTCTGTAACCTACAGGGAAGAATAAATGTTCAGTTGTGTTTATGTGCAACAAGTGATTGATCTCAGTCTGTGTTTCACATCCCAACCTCAGCAAGGACATCAAGACATGACAGGCTGCACTGACCATCTGTCAGCTTCAGTTATTTTGCTTTGTGCAGGTACACAAGGCCAGAATGAGTTTAGGAGAACTAGACACCCAAATTCTATTGAAATATTGCCAGAATCCTTCCCCATTCTGGCAAGGGGTGTTACTGATCCTCATTAGTTTTTCTAACGTTTTTAACTAAAAAAAATGGTTAACTTTTGATTTACAATGTTATAATTTATTTTGGCTACCTATTAGCAACTCATACATTGAAAAACATTTCTAAACTCTGTTCTGCTTGCACTATTTACAACAAAGCTCTCCCTGCCTTTGACAGAGGGGACTCCACTGGAGGTGCTGCCAAAAGGCAACGCTGCTGCCAGTGCCACCCAGCACAGCAACACTGATCATGTCAAAGGACGGGACCTCCAGAAACAAGTCAAGGGTGAGTGCCTGAAACACCAGGTTGGCAGGCTCAGGAGGCACTGTGATACTCTTCAGCACTTGCTCTGTTGCAATCTGAACCAAAAGAGCTGTAAATGCAACACAAATGGTCCAGTTGGGAAAGCAGTCACATGGGCAGAGGTTTTGCAGCCAAGTTTTAAGCCTTTTTTCTTTGCAACAGATGACACGGGCCATGTTCCAGAAGGAGTTACACTCCATCTCCCTCTTAGCCAAAAATAACCTCTTAGGAAGAGGAAATAACATTTTCAGAGGTGCTCATAATCCCAGTCTAATCCAAATGTGAAGGGCAAAATTTAATCTCAGCTAGCCACATGTCGACATAACTGCTTCCAAGGTGTCACCTTGGGATCTTCTGCAGGCAGCAATGTGCAGATCCCAGTGCCCTTGCCAAACTCGCCCCTCCACAGCCTGTGGCAATCTGTCTCTTCCACATTTCGACTGGAAACGAGACTCAAATTGAAGTAGGAGAAACTTGACTAAGTTCTTCATCTTCCCTCGCTTGCAGGGCCTGCAGATGGTGCCAGCAGCCGTCAAAAGCTGCAGCCAGTTGCCCGCCTGGGGAGCCAGCCCAAGACTAAACACAAGTCAGCCGGGGAGCAGGAACTCTTTGTGGCCCCAAGGGATTGCAGTTTCAAGACTGCTGGAAGTCAAGGAAGCGGATGCAGGAGAAATGTGCCCTAAAATGTATTTTGGCCTCTGTGTGGTGATGCTGAAAAGCAGAGGGGAGGTGAGCAGGGAGGAGAGGGACCTTATATGCTGTAGAATACTTTTTCTCTATCCCTACTTCAAGTCTGTCCTCTGTACTGTGTGCTCTAGCTGCTAGCTTGAGTTTGAGACAAGTAGGGTGTTAAGAGAGTCCAAGAGAAGAGGACAACCTCATTTTCCCAGCACTGTTTGCCTCCCAGAAGATATCAGCATTGAGACCAAGCTGCCTTTTTTCCCCAGGGCAGAAGTGTGGATGCCACCCCTGCATCCTAAAGGCTCCCTGACTATTGAAAACAAATGTAAATGCCTGAGAAATAGTTTCCCCGATCTTCCCTGCTGTCCCTGTGTGTTGCTGTGAAGCTGGGAGGTGTGATGCACGCCTGGAATGCTGTTTGGGTGAGCAGATGTTTGGCTGTGAGAGCAGCCAGAGACTGGTCTAAGCTCTCTTCTATCTGCAGAGCGTTTCAGACCTGGCTGCAGCCAGAGAGGCAGCGTGGTGATAAGTGAAGACCCTGATAACAGCTACTAGCCTGGAGGTAAACTGTGGGAATGTGTTTTTCTTTTTGGAACCAACATCTCCAGGCAGCAGCCCAGCTTTTTAAATATGCTGCAAATAAAGTGGTTCTGGTCATTGCACTGAATGGTGACTCCATGCCCCCTCCAGGAGTGTCTTCCCTCCTATAAGTATCAAAGGCGACAATCTCAGGTAGGCTTATGCATTTTTTCAAATGGAGGAAGAACCTTTTTTTACAGTTGTAGCACTTGCAAAGAATTCTCCAATGTGCTCTTTCTGACTGGGCATCATTGTGCTCGCTCCCTTTTCCTCTGTGCTTCCTCTTTTGCTGTGGGGAAGATGAGGGATAGTTCACTCCAAGGATGAGGAAGCTTAATTACTTGCACTTATAAATGCCTCAAACCCCTGAGGTGGGGATGCCATGCAGGTGTGCGAGCAGGTCCAGCAAGCAGCCCATTTTCCTTACAGAACAAAAAGCAGAAGTGTGATGGTGAACCGGGTCAGGAGCACTTGTTCCCAGGGCTGCTGCTTCTGGATAAACAAAGATATAGATAAAAAAAAAAAAAAGAGCACAGAGATAACCCAAGCACAGAGTGTGTGTAAGATAAACCTGTGCCAGCAGCGCCAGAGCCAAGCCCGGAGTTACGAGGCCTCGCGTGGCCCGCGAACACCCGAAGGACCAGAAGGCTGAACAAACTCAGAGATGCTCCAAGACCCCTCACCCGCTTTGTGGGACCCTCTCCTTATGCTAAGAAAGCACCAAAAAAACCCCACTTTTTTTTTTTTTTTCTTTCCTCCTCCCGTGCGGCGGCGCTCGCAACGAGTCCCGCAGTGCCTTCCCGGAGCGGGGGGAAAGGGTGTCCCGCACCCCGCGTGTCCCGCACCCCGCGTGTCCCGCACCCCGCGTGTCCCGCACCCCGCGTGTCCCGCACCCCGCGTGTCCCGCACCCCGCGTGTCCCGCACCCCGGGCCGGGACCGGGACCGGGGCCGCCCCCGGCGGGCGGAGCGGCGCCTGCGCGGCCCCGCGGGGAGCCCCCGCACCGGCGTCTCGCGAGAGGCGGCGGCGCCGGGACCGGGATCGGGAGCGGGACGGGCGGAGCGGGAGGAGGAGGAGGAAGAGGAGGAGGAGGGAGGCGAAGGCTCCCCCGGCGGGAGGTGAGCGCGGGGCCGCGGCCGCTCGGTGCCTGCAGGGCCGGGCGGGGCGCGGCGAGGCGGCGCCGCCCCGGGGCCGGGCCAGCCCCGGTTATGAGGCGCAGCGCGGTTCCCCACACCCTGCCCGTCCCTGCGCTCTGCCCGGTGCCAGGTAGGGCTCGGCTCCGGCGGGACCCGCGGCATCGTGTGCGGGGCTCTGCGGGGCGGCTCCGCTTCTCCGTCACCTTCCCCGGGATGGACGCTCCCCGGCGAGCTGGGGGGGCTCAGCCGGGGGGAAAGGAGGCGCAGGGGGGACCTTTTCGCTCCCTGCAGCTGCCTGGGAGGAGGGCGCGGGCAGGTGGGCGTCGGTCTTTTCTCCCTGGTGACAAGAGGTAGAACGAGAGGGAACGGCCTCAAGCCGAGGCAGGGAAGGAGCTGCCCGGGGGAGCTGGTGGTGACACCGTCCCTTGGAGGCAGATGTGGATGTGGCGCTGAGGGTCGCGGTTTTGGTGGTGGGGCTGGCAGTGTTTGGTGAATGGGTTGGGCTCGATGATCTTACAGGTCTTTTTCCAACCTTGACGGTTCTGGTGCTGGGCCCGGGGCTGGAAGCAGCAGCTCTGCCCGGTGCTCGGCAGCGGCCGGGAGCCATCCCGGGAAGCAGCCCCCTACCCGAGCGCCCAGCCCGGCTCTGAGCGCCGCTCCAAGAGATCCGGCGGAAAACGCCGCTCATCCCGCCTGAACTCCCCGCGCAGAACTTCACCCGCAGAGCTCAGGCTGGAAACTGTGCCGGAATCAGGTGTTCTGTGAGGCCGTCGCAGGCAAGGCGGGTGTCGGGGGCTGTTTTCTGGCCCCTGTGCTGACACACAGCGGGTATCCCGGGCCCGGGCTGCAGCACCGGCGCTGCCGGAGGCGCTCCCTGCGTTTGTAAGGGCGGGGAGAGATGCGTGTGCTGGAAGTTTGTGACAAAAGTAGCGGATGAACAGGACATGCTGTGTTTTGGGAGTTTCCTCCTGGAAATTTTAGACACACTGTTATTGTGACAGCTTCCAAGTATGGACATTAAAAAAGAGGCAACTGGCGCTGCTAAGCCTGTACAAACCAGGCTTTTTTGGCAGCAATAGAGAGGAAGGCGCTGCCATAACTGTAGATTAGGATGTTTTTTTGTTGGTCTCCAGGGTATAAGTGCTAAGCTGGAGTGAAACATCCAGCGCAGTTTCAATTTTTTGCTTATGCTGTGCAGTAATACTAATGTAAGCATGGATTCGACCCTCCCCATTCTGCAAAGAGTGCTAGACTTTTGGGAAGCCGGGGAGAAGCAATGAGGTGAGTGATGGCCAAGCATATGAAATTTGTTTCTTGGTATAGTCTGTCTGCTTTGGCTGGTGGGAGCTTGTTCTCCTGCACCTTTAGGAGATTAACTTGGTTCCGTGTCTCCAGAGTTCCATGTGTCTGGTGATTCCCTAAGTGCAACTGGTGCCAGGTGTGTGCAATGGTATGTGGGTACAGAAGGCTCCACAGGTCCAGTGATTGCTGGTAAATGCACGAAACACTCCAAGGGAAAATATCCTTTTGAATTTTTTGGGGAGGGGTTGTATGTTTTTAAAAGTTCTTATTCCACTTCTTTCTGTCTTCAGAAGCAGGCAAAGCCCAAGCAAGCTACCTGAAATCCCATATCTTCTGCATGCTAGGACGAGTGGGTGCTGGAGGAGGTGACCTGGTGCTTAGTGCCGGACCTGTGCCGTTTGCTTCCCTACAGGGAGTTGGGAGCTGTGGGAGAGGGACAGGCCTGGGGAAACAGAGAGATGAGATCTGCACCCAAGCCTTTGGAGGCACATTCCTTTCAAAACCATGCCTGTTCACAGAGAGGGGTTATTGCCCCTTGTCTCTACTACATGGCTTTGTGTAAGCTGCTTTATTTTCTGTAGGCCTTACTGCTCCTGTAAGTGAGCTGGGGTTACTTTCTTTTGCAGTGAGGCTGTGAGAGAATGTAGTCCTTGCACAAAGTCAAGAGGAGAGGAAGAAAGAGACACAAATTACTTAAGCTGTTATCTGTCCTGAGAATAAACAGTTACAATAGGGCTGTGAAGTAGAAATAAGGTTTCCAAATCCCAAGGCATTGCATCTGCAATAGCTTTTGCAATAAGAGTGCTGGTGACGTGTCCCTCTTTTCTGGTGTTAAATGAAAGTTTGAGAAGTGATTATTTGAAACGGCAGCTTGTGATAGGAGAGAGTGGGAACAGTGACCTCAGACCTCAGTGTCTTACTCGGGTGTGGGATGGGGAGAAGACTCCTTGGTTCGTAGCCAGGCCAGGTTCAGGTTGGAGCTGGTCATGTGCTGGCTGCTCAGGGGACTCTGTAGGATGATTATAGCACTTGGTCCACTTCCCGGTTTGCCAGCGTCGTGTCACAGAGGCAGCTTTGTGTGGATCCTGGTGCACGTTCCTGTTGGCTGGTGACTTTGGGTTGAACTTGAATGTAAATTCTTGGCTCTTTCTGGAGACTTTTCCTTTTGATTCTGGCAAGGGGAGGACAGAGGCATGTTCCTTCTTATGTGCACAGAGACCTCTAATTTGTGCTTTTAGTTTGGCATCCTTTATGAAGTGCTCAGGAAGAGGATGTATCGTAGTCAATAGAGTAACTCTGTTTTCTGCAATGTTTTCCTCCTGAGGGGGAGTTAAACTTACTGCTGTTTTGCAGGGCTCCTCTCTGGCACTGGTAGAGTTAATAGAAGTGGAGCCCTTTGCTGCTCGCTGCTGTGTGTCTTGGAAAAGCCAAACTCTCTGGCAGGCCTGTGTGCGTGTCCTGGAAAGCAGGCTGGAGCCCTTGGGGTGCTCTCAGTAAAGCTGCGTTATGGTGGTGGCTTTGAGGAAGAGCCCTCCTTCCCTTTGCCCCAGGAATGTGTGTGCCACACACAGTGTCCCGTTTGCTCCTGTCCCTGCTGCCGAGAGGACGATCTGAGAGGGTGATCTGTCCACGCCTGGGCTGGGACAGCTTTGCAGGAATGCCAGCGGGCTGCTGTGCTGCCCGGGGCTGTGGAACCTGCTGGGTGTAGGGATAGCAGAAAAGGATGCTCCGTGCAGCTTTCCAGGCTTGCTGCATTCCAGCCAGCCTAGAGGTCTCGAGCAGCGTTGGAAACACAGCGTGCTGGGATTATGTGCGCAGTGGGCACCCTATTCATCCAGAGTGGGAAGCAGTCCCTGCCCTGAGCAGCTAAACAGGCTTGAAAGCAAGAACAGATTTGGGCAAAACACAAACCCAGGAGTGTGCCAAGCAGAAGGCTTGGCAGCATCCCTCCATTATCTTCTGCTGCTGGACTGAGATGCTTGGCCTGAAGTGCTGACGCACATATGTAATTTGCCCCTTCTTTAGCTCAGTGCTCATCTCTCTGGGTGTTTCTTCTTAGGTCTGCTCCATCCTCAATCTTGACTAGCTAAACGTAGAGAATTACTGCTGAGTAATACCTGGTTCTTGCTCTGCAGACTGTAAAACGTTATGTCTGCAGTTCCTCCAGCTCCTCTTCACAGGCAGAATAAGAGCCTGGCTCCAGGAAAGGCACTTTTTGGTGTTGCAGTGCACAGCTATGTGTTAGGCTACAGCTCCACTGAAATTCTGGCTCTCCCTAGTTCCAGATTGTAAATAAATACACCAGGGTGGAGAAATCCTAAGCCTTCAGATCTGTGTTTTCTGTCTTTTGGGACAAGCTGACCTAATGCTTCAACATGTAACAGTATCTGGTATTGTTCCTGTTTGTAACTACATTCTTGGCTAAGATTTCAAACCTGGACTTTGGTTGTTAAAATCTGGCACCCCTCAGACATAGGCACAGCCAGGCAGGGGGCTCCTTCCCAGGTCATTTGCTGCAAGGCTGTGGTGAGTTTCAGAGG